CAGACTATGGTCAGGTGCAGGCTATCATCGAGTCTACAGTCCAGACTTTTCTCAATTCTCTAGTTTAAATTTAAATACCGAATCAGGGATTTCACTTTCAAAAATCTTTATCTTACTTCTTTTATGTATCTTTTACCGACAATTTTTGTATGAGAAGTGTTTATATACATTAAAGTTAAAAAATAACTAGATATTGTGAAAATTGGGATTAATCTATTAATATATACAGATGTAAATACATATTTCTGAATTTCCAATACACATTTAAATTCTATGAAATCTTTGGAAATAACCAGAAAAACATTGCAACCGACAACTTCATTTTTATATACATACACATATCTTATTAGGGTTAAATACATGAAGGAATTCTTTTTTTCTTAAGTCGTGATCAATAACTTTTTGTGCTCAAATAATCAATAGCATTTTTTTTTTTTTTTTTTGTAATTCAAAATCTCAAATAAAAAAGTATCACTTTGCATGTGAATAACATTATTGGTGTAACTTGTTTAATGACAATTTATGTGTAATTTTATGGAAAATCAAAAAAGTGTATATGAAAAAACATACAGATATTTTTTGTTACTTTGAAATCTTAAAACAACAATGAACTTTAAAAATTGTCAAGTAAAATTCAGCACAAAAAAACTACTTGCTATTATACATAAAATGTAGGTTAGAAAAAAATCAACCAGTGTTGCAATATCTCTATGAGTGTATAGTTAAATATAAGAAAATTTTACTTAATAAGTGACTTTAGAGAATGTCAGTAAAATCTATATTGAAAAGAAACTGATCATAAGTGACAAACAAAAAAGTGTGCAACTAATGACGCCAACTACTCGTAAAATATAGTACAATAGAGTGTTTTGTTTCTTGAAAAAGTTAAAATGTGGAACGACTATAAATATATTTAGCATTAATTAGAGAACTAGTTCCCGAATTGTTTAAATAAGTTTATACTTAAGAACTAGTTCTGAAAGTGACAAGTTCATGCAAAACTCATTGATCCCAATGAGCACAAATTAAACTCATGTGTTCTAGAACCAATTATAAAACTAACACCTAAAAGTATTCTTTTTATAGTATTTAAAAGATTCCGCTATTACGTTTTTAAATCGTACTTTTTAAGGAAATTTAATAAATTCTTAATTTACCGAGAATAGGGTACTTACAAAATTCATATGAATCAGCATAATACAACTCATAGACAATGTCGCTTGAGGTCAACTAATAAATATTGTTACAAAGACTAAAGTCAATATTATACTATTTTGTGTCAAAGAAAAAATGAAGTTGACTACGTTGCCGCCAAAAAATCGTTAAAATGGGGGTGATATTCAATATAAAAGCGCAACCGCAAATGATGCATAACATTTTTTAAACAATAACACTAACGTTTTTGTTTAATATTTAAAAAAAAAGTACAACAATTTTCATTGTTAAATTAGTGAAAATATTTAGGTTAAACTATTGCAATTTTATGTTTTTAAAAGTACTTTATGACAAGTTTTGCTAAAATTTTTTAAACATAAAAAAATATCTCAAAAAATGCAATCAATTATATTTAGCTAGTAAAAGATTGGTCAAGGCTTAAAACAATTCATCAATTAACAAGTAACATTCTTAAAATAAATGTTAATCGATTTAGTTCAAAGTTTAACACCATCACCTCAAATCATTTGAAATTTTGTATTCAATGTCAATTTTTTTTTATGACCACAAACTTAAAATAATTGATTAATTGTTTTTGTAAACATAAATATGAGTAATTAATGCAACAGTGATTTAAGAACTGTTCTGAATAAAACTGGTTAGAATGTTATATACGGCTAAGGCGAATTTTATATTCATAGGTATATAAGTAAACAATACATAGCCTTAGTAAGTATTTATTTCCAAGCCTGGAAAGCCATGTTGCACGACCAAAGTCTTATAGACCCATAAGCTTATAAGGTCTTTTCTAATTAAAACCTTAGAAAATGAAGTCTTAGACGATGCCGTAAAACTTCTTACGCGCAAACATTCAAATTACTTATGTAGAAGGACCGAGGAGCCTCTAACCAAGTCGTTAAAGAGGGCTCGACCGAGACAAGAATGTCTATGTGCTTAACGTGAACACCTGCTTTGACGGGCTTAATTCACGGTGATCTTTTCATCCACCAGATAGAGTTGAGTACCACGCGCCCCCCGAGTGACTTCGATGAACAACACTTAGTTGACAATTTTTGCAAATGGCTGTGCCGACCCATGTACAAGCACTTTTCTGAAGAACTCTGCCCCAAAAGGCGGTGAAGTGCAGGTCGGATCAGAAAAGAGGAGTGCCAAACCCCAACAGACGCACCCGATAAATTGGTAGCACCACTTTTACCCGGGATATTGCAATAAAACCAAGATGGTGATTTCACCCAGGTAACATGACCCCCGCGAGACTCGACCAAGACAGTCGGTTATACATTAAAAATTATAAATAGTTAGAAATGGTGAGACATTGAACCCAAACAATTCTTATACTCTAGCTTTCAGGCAGAAGACCAAACAATAAAATGTGCCCACAAAGCTTAAAATTTTTACCGACAGCCAGAAGGCAATTATGGCGATATCAGATTATAAAGTTAAATCTAAGACCTTATTGGATTGTAAAAAAACCTAACCCAATACTCTACCAGAGATAAGGTTTACATCATTTAGGTAGCAGGCCACTCGGGAATAGTCGGCAACGAAAGAGCAAATGTAATAACTTTAAAGCAAAAGTAGCTCGAGAAAAACCATTTGACGCAACAAGGGCAGACATTAAAATATGAGTGAGAGAAACCCATAAAGCCTTAGGAATGATGAAAGTGTGGGTAGAACCACAAAGATCCTATGGGGACCTCTGGTTTAGTCCAATTTCTGGCTAAACCAGAGGCGCTAGGGCAAAAAGAAAGAAAATCTGTGATCACTTTAATTTTCCACCAAAAACCGAATTTTTGAGTGAAAACATAAAAGTCCATTTTCTGGTTAAACTAGAGGCGAAAATAAAGAAAATCTGTGATCACTTTAATTTCCAAACAAAAATCGATTGTTTTGAGTGAGAAGATAAAAGTCCATTTTCTGACTAAACCAGAGGCGCTAATTTCTCTTTAATTTCACTTTAATTTCCCAACAAAAATCGATTTTTTAGTGAAAACATAAAAGTCCAATTTCTGGCTAAACCAGAGGCGCTAGGGCAAAAAGAAAGAAAATCTGTGATCACTTTAATTTCCCAACAAAAATCGGTTTTTAGAGTGAGAACATAAAATTCAAAACTTCTGGCTAAACTAGAGGCGCTAGGACAAAAAAAAAAGAAAATCTGTGATCACTTTAATTTCTCGCCAAAAACTGAATTTTTGAGTGAAATCATAAAAGTCCATTTTCTGGCTAAACTAGAGGCGCTAGGGCAAAAAAAAGAAAATCTATCACTTTAATTTCCCAACAAAAATTGATTTTTTTCAGTGAAAACATAAAAGTCCATTTTCTGCCTAAACTAGAGGCGCTAGGACAAAAGGAAAGAAAATCTGTGATCACTTTAATTTTCCACCAAAAACCGAATTTTTGAGTGAAAACATAAAAGTCCAATTTCTGGCTAAACTAGAGACATTAATTTCACCAAAAACTGAATTTTTGAGTGAAAACATAAAAGTCCAATTTTTGGCTAAACCAGAGGCGCTAGTACAAAAAGAAAGAAAATCTGTGATCACTTTAATTTTCCACCAAAAACCGAATTTTTGAGTGAAAACATAAAAGTCCATTATCTGGCTAAACTAGAGGAGATAGGACAAAAAGAAAAAAATCTGTGATCACTTTAATTTCGCATGTGCGAAAGCGAGCATTTGTTACATCCCTAGTTTTTACAAACATATATTTTCCATGAAAAAGAGGGCACAACATTCCCGATAATGGCCTATGTTTATTTCTTCGGATTTGATGTAGATACATCCTCATAGTTCTCTAAAGAGCGATCCATAATTGGCATTCCGAAAATTGTTCTAATACTATATTATAAAAAAATCGGTATTGTGATAAAATTCTTCAGAGATAAGTTTCATAATAAGGTTAATAACTATACCTAAGAAGGATCGATCTTTAAATAGGTGTCAAGTCGACCTTAAAGAAAATTTTTTCATTAACTTTAGTTGACCGATTTTGGTAATTTTTAATACTAAAATATAAATAAAATACACTTTTCCAAAAGCAATGACTACATATTCCGCATATAAAACCTAATCACGAAAATTACTTTAATGTTAAGCAAATATAGAGCAAATCATCGTTAAGACCATAAATGACCTTTACAGAATTTAACTGCAACAATGAGTTTTAAACAAAATTTCCACAAAACATTTCAAAAACACAGAAATCAATCTTAAAAGCAATAGCAACAGAATACATATAATGAAAATATATTGTAAAGAGGTTAAAGCTCAAATAATTTGTAATATTTTGCAAACAATTCTTTCAACAAAATTAGTTTGTTGCTTTTGAAAAACTACTCGTTAAATCGTAGACAAACGTTAACTTCCCACAAACTGAAAAACAGGTGCAATCTAAGAGTATTAATCTATTATGAACAACTCACTATAGTAAATCTAAAGCCTTAATACAAAACCACAACAAAATATATTAGGAAATTATTGAAAAGGCATTAAAATGAAATAGAATTTAATTTTCATAGAGTTGCTGACCTATAGCGTGTTTCCTTTATTATTTTGGGCTAAGGAAAGTAAGTCTAAAGCACAAATCATATCGTAAATAATAATTTTTATTTTTAATATGCAGTTCAACGTTAAACTCATAAATATAAGTGATGATTAAATCAAAATTTCAAACGGTACAAAACAATTGTCAAGTTAACACCTTAAAGGATAAATTGGAAATTTTACGCTTAAAAAATGAGGACAACAAATTTAATATTTTTACTATTAAGTTTAATTTTATTTGATCTAGTGTTAACTTTTGAAAATTTTAAAACTACTAACAAGTGTTTAAGTGAAAATGTTCTACAACGTTTTCAATTAAATCGCGAACTTTATGCATCATGTGAAAGTCTTAAAACATCGAATAGAAAACGACGTCGTATTGAACCTATTCTAAAGGGAAAACCTAAACCACGTTCGGAATTATTAGCTGCAAAATTCAATTTAAATTTAAAAAGAGATCAAGCCAATTCATTGGTTAAGTTGATTTTTAAAATAGCCCAGGAATATTTGTACAAATGTCCACCGATTATATACTACGACAAATATGTTGAGGACTCTGATAGTTTACTTTTGGAAAAACTCTTTAAGTCTTTTCCCATTAGTTATTCTCATGGTGAAATTAATGTTAATTATAAGGCAAAAAATCAAAATTTAAAAAATTCTCTGGATAATAATTGTAAAAGTTATATACTATTTTTATCGGATCCCTTGATGACGCGTAGTATTATTGGACCACAGATAGAGAGTAAAGTTGTTGTGATATCAAAATCTACGCAATGGAAGTTGAAAGATTTTTTAGCTTCCGATTTATCATCGAATATTGTAAATCTATTGGTGATCGGTGAATCCTTGACGGCCGATGCGAATAAGGTTAGTTAAGGGGAGAAAAAAACTTATTTTGTGGACTCGCTTATACATATAATATAATTTTAAGAAAAAGGTGATTATTAAAATTAAATTTTTTGGATGAAAATTTAAATAGTAACTTCGTTAAAATGTCCTCAAATTGAAAGAAGAGTAGTTTGAAAAAGCGCTTATTTTGTGATCAGTGATCACGTGTATCTACTTCCATTAATCTACCATTTTGTTAAAAAATCCAAGGAATCTAGAACCTAAAATTATTCACATCTGGGCATTTAGAACAAGTTTTCTTGGCGCAGTCTTAGTATGTTGGATAGAGGAGTTAAGAGATCAGAAAAAGGAGTATAAATTTGATCGTATTTTAAATCAGACTAGTTTTTTACATTTACCAGATCCATAAGATACCTCAATATATAGGAATAAATATAACAATAAATTTTGTGAGTATAAGAAAAAAGTCATTCGAAAAGTCAAATAAGACTCCTGAAAATAACGGGTTGAGTATAAAAAACTTCCTATCCAAAACCCATGTAAAACCAGAATCAGTGGTAGCTAACACAGGCAGGAGACTAAAAGATATGTGAACCTATTAAACTCCCGATTGACTCTCAGGTATAACGGGGGAACCATATGCAAGTAAGTGAGGCTATAAGAGGGATTATCTTTACAACTAGCATGATCATATAAAGCTATAGAATCGGATGGTACTTTCCGGAAATTAGTTTCTACTCATCCGCTTATAAAGCGATACAACGATTGTATATCTGCAAAGCCGAGTTACGCGACACCAAAGTCTTGGTGTCCTATAAGCCTAACTTCTTTTCCTCTTAAAACTTTGGAATGGATAATCGATTACAAAGCAGAATAAGGGAATATAGAAAAATGCTTTAGTTGCAAACTGCATACACTTGAAGTCTTCATTGATATGGACCAACAATATGTAGAAGTGTTGAGGATGTTAAGTACGGCTTTCGGCCGGGATCAACCATGGGGGTTAAATGTCATCCGGAAATTTGTCTTTTCACAAGAAAAATGAAAATTTCTGCCTATACAGAACTTCTTGGAAAGGATTATATCAGCCAGCGATAGGGTTTAATACCTAGACGTTATCTTTGATCGGAATCTAAAGTGAACGATATCGAGGTTTTCCCCCGGGGCATGTTATTACCTTGATGAACTCCCCCATCTTGGTGTGATTGCCAACCGGGGGAAAAAAGGACAGAACTTCTTGGAAAGGATTATATCAGCCAGCGATAGGGTTTAATACCTAGACGTTATCTTTGATCGGAATATAAAGCGAACGATATCGAGGTTTTCCCCCGGGGCATGTTATTACCTTGATGAACTCCCCCATTTTGGTGTGATTGCCAACCGGGGGAAAAAAGGACCGACGGGAATATAAACTGGTGGCGTCAAATGTATCTTCGAAATGATTTGACCCGGGGTCGAACCAGAGAGCCATATAATCTGGTACTACGGGATAGCGGCACGTAGTAGCCAAACTCTAGGAAAGATAATGTTGGATCAAAGACACGGTAAAATCTATATTTCTGAGAAAGTTCGGTGCTGTTACCAAAAACGACAACAGATACCTCACAGAGGAGTGACTGTAGGATTAAAGCTGGGAATGTATTGGTATTAAAGAATAAGATAGATACTGAATCAGCGGTATATGGAACTATCTATACCAATATAAACGTATGGATGTGTCGAAAGTTTTCCTTTTGTTGTGTCTTATGAATGAAAATGGAGATGGAAGTTTAGTATTTTGTCCAGATGATACCATATAAATTCCCCTTTTTGGACAGGTATGTTCAGACTTGGCTCTGTTCATAACGCAGCACAGTGGTATAGGAAAAAAAAAAAGAGGGAAATAATTCGGTAACTTCTAAACGGTTAATCCGATTTTAATGAAATTTGGTGTGCACAAAGAGGAGGTGTTGTCGAGTTTAGGTTTTGAATTTGGACCTTATAGGCCAACCAGGGGCCCGGCGGGGGGTCATCAAATTAGGACACCTCGGCTATGTTAAATTTTTAAAACGATCCTATTTCTTCATTTGAGTTCCTCTTAAATTTGTTACATATATGGATGAAAATAATAGTGCTAGGTAAATTTTCTAAAAGATGTTGAGTTTTCCCTAATTAATTTGTCACTTAAAAAACATTAGGTAGGCATGTTATATATCAATGGAAAGGTAATTTTGTCTATTTTTCAAAACTGTATATAATTTTTGAAAATTAAAAAATTCGCGGAATACTTTTTTTAAAAAAAATTAAAAAATGTTTTTTATTCAGTTTTTGCGAAGATACAAATTTTTCAAATTGCAATAAAAATTTTATTTTTGAATATTTTTTGATGAAATTTTACAGTTAGGTAGATTTTTTTACTCAAAATCCAAAATTAAATCAAAATTTCGAATTTTCTTATTAGAAATCCCGGAATTCCCAAAAAAGTTTTAAAAAATCCCAAAAATGGGATTTTTTGGTTTTTTGCCTATTATATCCATACCAGGGGCGGGGTTATCGAAACCCGTTACAAAATGATTAAGAACTTATTGGGTCATATAAAACAGGTCACTATAATTTGATATCGACTATGCGATTTGAGAATTTTTGCTCAAAATTTAATTTTCCATAAAAAATAGGGTTTTTTTGGATGGACCTGGTCCCCTCGGTATCAAAAATTTTTAGGTTTTGTTTCATTTATCGTATTTTATGTAAAGTCAGCTTTCCAAAAAGTATAAATTCTATATACATCTTCTTAGAAACTTTTTAGATAACTTAAAAAGAAAAAGATACTTTTTTCCCAAAAAAATGACAAAAAATCGCCTTTTTTTAATTTTTTAAATTTAAATGCCTATAACTTTGGACTCAGTCATGATTTTTACATAATTCTTTCACTGCTTGGTATATAAACTTGTTGTTAAGCAAATAAAAAAAATGGCGAAAATCGGAAATATTTGGACCTGCTATTATCAAAAAAAACTAAAGTAAGGACGGTAAAAATTTTAAAATTTTAATATTCAAATGCGAATATCTCCTAAACTGGTTGGCCTATAAGGTTCAAATTCAAAACCTAAACTCGACAACACCTCCTCTTTGTGCATACCAAATTTCATTAAAATCGGATTAACCGTTTAGAAGTTACCGAATTATTTCCCTCTTTTTTTTTTCCTATACCACTGTGCGCAGTGTGTTTTCTCTGAGTAAGAACATGTCTTTGTTCTGGATGACGAGAGGACATTTGCATACCAGAGAACTGTTAGATATTGGCAAATGGGTTTAACCCGTAAAACAAAAAGGGCATTTGGATCTAAATGGAAAACGTCTTCATAATCACAACTCTAGCTTCCAGGCGAAAAATCTTGCTATCACATAATGTGAAAAATGGATTAGATTGAATGTGGCTCCAACAGATGTTATTTTCCGACAGAAAGATATTAAGACGATATCAGCTGATAAGGTTAAATCTAATACCGTATTAAAATATATGAGAACAATAACGAATTACTCTTCCAGTGATAAACTCTGCAACATAGGAGTAGCAGGCCTCTTGAATTGAATGTACTTATTATAAAGGGTAGGGAGCTTGAGGGTATATAGTTACCCAAACGAGAAGAAGGTGAGAGAATAAATAAGAACGATGATAGTATGATGGTGTGAAACACGGGAACACTTTATTCCCTCAGGAATTCTTATTGGAAAATTTTAAAAAACTAAGTCCAGAAAACTTGAACAATAAATCCTTTCATAGATCTCTATATAACGTTTTTCCACTAAAATTTTCCAAGATAAGAGATACCTAATACGACCGTTAGTGGCCTCGGTATTCTTTTGCATCTGATGTAATACACATTTTCCTAAACTACTATAAATGGTGGAATATGAAATTTTGCTCAATTAGATAATTAAAATTTCACTTTGAATATTTCAGATGATATATTGTTATCAGGTCTATCACAGAATTCCATTCCGATCGAAAGTGGAAAGTTTTTCTAAACAATAGATTTTCTTCTTTTTAGGAACGTCCTTATGTTTTATATACCCACAAACTATATGCCGATGGTTTGGGATCCAACTCCCCTGTAGTACTTACAAGCTGGATAAGAGGTGCCTTATCACGACCGCACATTGATCTCTTTCCAAGAAAATTTGCTAATGGTTTTGCTGGTCATCGTTTTAAGGTAATGTCTGGTAATCAACCGCCCTATATGTTTCGTATAAAAAGTTTAGACTTTGGAGGTGGTGCACAATTGAGATGGGATGGTATAGAATATCGTCTATTAAATATGATTGGCAAACAATTGAATTTTTCCATAGACATAATAGATATACCGCAAAAATTGGGTATAAAAAGGTAAATTTAAAATAGTATACTAATTTGAAGATATAATCGGTGTAATACCTTATATCTATTTTTTAGTACTTCAGAAAATTTGGACTTTAGCTTGACGCAACGTTTGGCCGATGTAGGCATGCTGGGAGCTTATGTAACAAATGAAAGGTTAAGTAACACAGATATGTCGGTGGGTCATTCAAAAGATTGTGCTGCCTTTATAACATTGGCTTCGAAAGCTTTACCCAAGTATTAATGATAATAGTATTTTAAGTTTATTTTCTAATTAAGGTATTATTCCAGATATCGTGCCATTATGGGTCCTTTCCAGTGGCCCGTTTGGGTAGCTTTGATTTGTATTTACTTGGGTGCTATATTTCCTATTGTCTTTACGGATCGTTTAACTTTGAGACATTTAATGGGTAATTGGGGTGAAATTGAGAATATGTTTTGGTATGTATTCGGTATGTTTACCAATTCTTTAACCTTTTCGGGCAAGTATTCTTGGAGTAATACGAAAAAGGTTTCGACGAGATTACTTATTGGATCCTATTGGATTTTTACTATTATTATAACGGCTTGTTACACTGGCTCTATTATAGCGTTTGTTACATTACCAGCATTTCCGGAAACTGTGGATTCTGTAATGGATTTATTGGGCCTATTTTTTCGTGTTGGTACTTTGGGTAAGTTTTGTAGGAATGTTTTAGGAACTTGATATGAATAGAATAAGATAACACAGGGCAACAAAATTTAAAAAAGTCGAATACCCTAAGAACTTCTTATACTTTTTCTAATTTGTTGAACAATTCCAAAGCCAAGTTTAATCTAATATAAAATTTAAAAAAATTTAACTTACCCTTAAACTTGTTTAATTGTTTTCATATTCCAATTCCCCAGAAAGTGGTGGTTGGGAAACCTGGTTCCAGAATTCTTCGCACGAACCAACTTTACGTTTGTTTAACAAAATGGAATACGTTGCTACACTGGAAGAGGGTATTGGTAATGTAACGCAAAGTTTCTTTTGGAATTATGCTTTTCTAGGATCCAGATCACAATTGGAATACTTGGTACAAGCTAATTTTACAAATGAGTAGGTGTTGTAATATATTTTTCTTTTTAAGTCTTTTTACATGATTTTTTTTTTGTGTTATTGTTGTTTTGCAGAAATATATCACGTCGTTCCGCTTTACACTTAAGTGAGGAATGTTTTGCCTTATTTCAGATTGGTTATATATTTCCGAAAGATTCTGTTTATAAAACCAAGTTGAATTCACTTATATTATTGGCCCAACAGGCTGGTCTAATGAGTAAAATCGAAAATGAAGTAAAATGGTCAATGCAAAGATCAAATAAAGGTAAATTATTGCAAGCCAGCTCTTCCTCACCTTTAAGAGAGACCATACAAGAGGAAAGACAATTAACTACGGCCGATATTGAAGGCATGTTTTTGCTAATGGGTATAGGCTATACCATAGGCGCTATTGCCTTGATCTCCGAAATAGTGGGAGGCATAACTAATAAATGCCGCCAGATTATACGGCGTTCTCGTCAGTCTTTCTCCAGCAATTGGTCTTCGAAATGCAATAGTGGTGATTTATCTAAACCGCCACAAAAGCCTCTCGACAAACAAGAAGAATATGCTCATGCGGCCTGGCAAGTGGCACGTAAAGCTGCTCAGAAGGAGACACAAAAAACGCACCAGGATTTGCTAGGTTTCGGTAGAAAACAATTCAATTTAACTAAAACTACTTTAAGGGAATTGTATGGCGACTATAATAAGTCACAGCCGGATTATGTTCTTAGAGATGGTCAAATTATAGTAGAAGATCCAGTTGATTCTGATGTATCTTTGGAAACATCAACTAGACAGTCTAGTGCAGAAACCAAAACTTCTTTAGTTAATGAAAAATGTAAAGAAGTCCAAGAAGAATTCACCAAAGATAATATCGAAAAGATGGTAGAAAGTTTTCTTAATGATGAAATTGAAAAAGCTTTAAAATCATTTGATCAAACTTTAAAGCCTTATCACAAGGACAACTCTCAAGATTGTGATGAAATTGAAGAGGAGGTATTTGGTAGTTTTGTACAAACCAAAGAAGAACAATTTAAAACGTTAGATAATCTACAATTATTTAAAGAACAAAATGATTTGTTAAGACAAGATATTAATGAGAAAGTTAGTGCAAATGATGAAGATTTAGATACTGAAAATGAAAATGAAAAGAAAGATAAAAAGAAAAATTAGCTGGTGTTAAACTTAAAGATTTATTTGGAAAAAAAAATATTGTTAGAAAAAATTGAACTTAATAAATAAATACCTTGTGTTACACATATAAATATTTGGCTTTCTTCATAAATCGCTGTTAATTGCTTTATAACTTAATAGTTAACATTTGATGCGCTTAAATTAACTTAGTGGCAATTTTTGTCTTTTATTTGTGGAGGGAAGAATTTTGTGCTTTGTTACTACTTATAAATAAATAATTCACAATTCATCTCTAACATAGGGAGGTTCTATTTGTGTATATTCTTCTTCCTCTTGCTTAATGTTAGTATTATCATCCTCTTGTGCGGGAGTTAAAACTAAAAATAATAATAAATAAAAAAACGAAACAAAAAATTACTTAAAATATTGTTCAAACTTGTGTTTTTGTTTAAGGTTAGTTTTACACTTATTATGCATTTGTTCTACTTTTCTTCTAATATATTTTATTCTTATTTTTTTTTATTCACAGAATAAATACTTTTATGTTTTATTTTGTTTATAAATTTGCTTACATTTTCCTAAAACATAAAATCATTATCATTATGCGTTGCTTTAATTACAATGATTTCATTAACATTTCCTCTAATTGTTTAGTATCAATTTGTGGTTTATTGGCACCAGCTGGTGTTGAGCTAAGCCAATATTCGGAAGCTGCTATGTATATGGCAACAGCGGCACCAACTATATAAGCAATATGTGTTGAACTTTGGAAGATAACACAAGTGGCTACACACAAGCCAAAATATGTTAGGAAACGTGTGATATTTACATATTGATCACGTTTTTCATTAGAATCATCTGATACAAAGAAACACATATAAAATACATAGAAAGAATATAAACATGAGTTTAAATTTAATACCAGCTTGCTTTAAACTTACCTTGACATTTTCCATCCTTGAGGCTATAACCGGCAGCACATTTTTTACACATATCAGGACCATCACCATCACAGCCCTCACAAGAACGATCACACTCTAAGCAACTGTGTGATCCCTCATTATTGACACAAAATTGATTGGGTCGACAGGCTCGTGTTTTGGCTAAACATTCGTTGATGTCCAAGCAACCGTTTGTATCATCCCAACGCCAACCTTCATTACATTTTACACAAGCTGTAAGAAATTTCATGGAATTTATTAAAAGTTTTGCTCAAATGATATTTCGAAATTTCTCTTTTTCTGGAGAATTTTCCACAAATTTTCTTTTTCTAGAGAATTTTCGAGAAATCTTTTTTATCTGTTTCTATAGAGAATTTTCGATAAATTCTCGTTCTATAGAAAATTTTCGATATAATCTCCTTGTATAGAGAATTTTCGATAAATTCTCTTTTTATAGAGAATTTTCGATAAATTCCCTTTTTATAGAGAATTTTCGATAAATTCCCTTTTTATAGAGAATTTTCGATAAATTCCCTTTTTATAGAGAATTTTCGATAAATTCCTTTTTTATAGAGTATTTTCGATAAATTCCCTTTTTATAGAGAATTTTCGATAAATTCTCTTTTTATAGAAAATTTTCGATAAATTCTCTTTTTATAGAAAATTTTCGATAAATTCTCTTTTTATAGAAAATTTTCGATAAATTCTCTTTTTATAGAAAATTTTCGATAAATTCTCTTTTTGTAGAAAATTTTCGATAAATTCTCTTTTTATAGAAAATTTTCGATAAATTCTCTTTTTATAGAAAATTTTCGATAAATTCTCTTTTTATAGAAAATTTTCGATAAATTCTCTTTTTATAGAAAATTTTCGATAAATTCTCTTTTTATAGAAAATTTTCGATAAATTCTCTTTTTATAGAAAATTTTCGATAAATTCTCTTTTTTTAGAGAATTTTCAATAAATTCTCTTTTTATAGAGAATTTTCAATAAAATCTCTTTTTATAGGGAATATTGGATAAATTCTCTATTTATAGGGAATATTCGATAAATTTTTTTCTATAGAGAAATCTTAATAAATACCCTCTTAATAGGGAGCTTTGATAACTTCTCTTTTAAAGATTTTTCTATTTTTATAGAGAGTTTTCGATAAATTCTATTTTGATAGAGTTTTCGATAAATTATCTTTTAATAGAACATTATAGATAAATCCTCATTATATAAAAAAATTTTCGAAAAATTCTCGTTTTATAGAAAATTTTCAATAAATTCTCTTTTTATAGAGAATTTTTGAGAAATTCCTTTTTTATAGAAAATTTGTGATAACTTCTGTTTATATTAACAATTTTCGATAACTTTTCACCTTATATAGTGTTCGATAACTTAGCTTTTTAATAGAAAATTTTCGATAACTTCTGTTCCTATAGAAATCTTTCTATCAATACTCTTTTTATATAGAATTATCGTCAAATTCTTAACTTATAACCTTACCTTTAGGTCCCGCTCCCTTACAACCATCATCCTTAGTGCAAGCTTTATGGCACTCCGAACACAGCAGTTTCTTATCATCCCTAAAGGCTTCATAGAAGCCTTTGGAACATTCATTACATTCCTCACCCGCATAACCTTCATCACAATTACACTTGCCATTACCTTTGCGAGTACCATCGCCCTTACACTTGCCATTGCCACGACAATCGGTACAGGGCTTGCAGTCGGCACCATAATGACCACTAGGACAGCAGGCCTTCAACTGTTCAATACACAGCCACTTATGCAAATCTTCCTCTTCCGTCTGTTTGTGTGTAAACCATTCTTCGAGCAAATGTTCATTATCATTGGCCATATTGTGACACTGGTCCTGACCACGTCTTACATCTTGACACAATTGCTCTTGAATTTCCACTAAACGCACTTCACTGGTTTTGTATGAACGCAGTTTTTCCTCTTCCCAAGCAGCATCACCGCCAGCATGCTTACCGCGACTAGTCTTTTCTAGGCCCAATTTAAAAGATGCCACCAAAGTGGAGCAAGCTTTACATGGCGGCAGTTTAGTAGATTTTTCTTTTTGTTCCTTAGGATTTAATGGGTCATCGGCGGAAATGGCAGACACAGCACATAATACAAAAATTGCAAAAAATTTTAAACATTTTTGGAAATTAAGCCTCATTTTTTATTACAATTCTAATAAATCTTTTAATCTTCAATTATTTTAAATTGGTAAACAACAGCCAATAAAGGTTTACGTGTAACTTTTTATTTATTTTATCTTCTTTTTTTCTACCCTCTTCAATACAATTCTATCAACCACCAACAAAAAGTTTTTCCAGAACTTATTCGTTTTTTTTCTATTGCTTTTGTTGTAATTTCTACTTATCTGCCACTTCTTCAATATGTAGCGAAATGTCAAGTTTTTTTGTTTATTTCTTTTGTTGTTTTCTTCTTATTATGCCGGTTATCTGAGAACTGCTGTTTGTTGACACATAAAAACAGAGTTGTTTAACAAAATTTAACGTTATAAGGAAATTTACCTCAAATTAGTTTTTTAAAGAAGTTTTTTTTATAAAAAAATAATAAAAATTGAGCCAAATTCTCTATTTAAATGAACAAAAAATTAAAATATCCTCTGCATTTAATATTTATTTCGATTTATTGGCAAATTTTCTATAAATCCTCTTTCCAGAATTTTCGATTAATTAATTTCAATAAATCCTATTTTTGCAGAGAATTTTTGATAAATTCTCTTTTATATAGAGAATTTTTGATAAATTCTCTTTTTATAGAGAGTTTTCGATAAATTCTCTTTTTATAGAGAATTTTCGATATATAGAGAGAATTTCGATAAATTTATAGAGAATTTTCGATAAATTCTCTTTTTATTAAGAATTTTCAATAAATTCCCTTTTTATAGTGAGTTTTCGATAAATTCTCTTTTAATAGAGAATTTTTGATAAATTCTCTTTTAATAGAGAATTTTTGATAAATTCTCTTTATGTAGACAGTTTCTGATACATTCTCTTTTTATAGAGAATTTTTGATAAATTCTCTTTTTATAGGAATTTTCGATAAATTCTCTTTTTATAGGGAATTTTCGATAAATTCTCTTTTTATAGGGAATTTTCGATAAATTATCTTTTTATAGGGAATTTTCGATAAATTATCTTTTTATAGGGAATTTTCGATAAATTCTCTTTTTATAGGGAATTTTCGATAAATTCTCTTTTTATAGAGAATTTTCGATAAATTCTCTTTTTATAGGAATTTTCGATAAATTCTCTTTTTATAGGGAATTTTCGATAAATTATCTTTTTATAGGGAATTTTCGATAAATTATCTTTTTATAGGGAATTTTCGATAAATTCTCTTTTTATAGGAAATTTTCGATAAACTCTGTTTATATAGGGAATTTTCGATAAATTCTCTTTTTATAGGGAATTTTCGATAAATTCACTTTTTATAGGGAATTTTCGATAAATTCACTTTTTATAGGGAATTTTCGATAAATTCACTTTTTATAGGGAATTTTCGATAAATTCACTTTTTATAGGGAATTTTCGATAAATTCACTTTTGATAGGGAATTTTCGATAAATTCTCTTTTTATAGGGAATTTTCGATAAATTCTCTTTTTATAGAGAATTTTCGATAAATTCTCTTTTTATAGAGAATTTTCGATAAATTCTCTTTTTATAGAGAACTTTCGATAAATTCTCTTTTTATAGAGAACTTTCGATAAATTCTCTTTTTATAGAGAACTTTCGATAAATTCTCTTTTTATAAGGAATTTTCGATAAATTCTCTTTTTAAAGGGAATTTTCGATAAACTCTTTTTTATAGAGAATTTTTGATAAATTCTTTTTTATAGAGAATTTTCGATTAATTCTCTTTTTAACTTTATTTACTTTCCCTTTTTCTTGTAATAAAACATTTTTATTTTGTTTTCTGTATTATCACATTAATAATTTATTTTATTTTAAATTAGTTAATATATTACAATATTTCATATATTATTTAATGTTAAAAATTATTTTTTATTATTTTTAATAAATTAGTTTAAATTTTTTGGTTTACAATTACATACAAATAACTTTTTTTCCTTGCAAATTTTGAATTTAAAAAAAAATGTTACACAAAAATATATTTTAAAAAATTAGATAAATTAATTAGATTACTATAATTATATAAAATATTGGTGTTTATAGCAAAAAGCTTTAATATATTTTTTTTAAATAAATAAATTAATAAAAATATACTTTGTTTTATAAGTTAACATTATTTCAGCTTAAATTTTTAAATGGCTGTTTTAAAAATTTAAGTTTTAAAATGATGGAAACTCTTCATGAAATTAAATTAAATACTGATATTTGTGTATAAAAATATAATGCGAGTTTATGAATGAAGTGTTTTTGCAGAGCTGGACAAAGGTACTTAAGTTATTTTCTTTTTTATAAAATATTTAAAAAAATATGCCGTAAGTTTGTGATTATAGGTGTTTTTCAAAGTTTTTTTCAAAATACTTAAGGCTTTTTTGTTAAACGAAATTTTTGTTTGAGAATCTTTATGGGATTCTTTTAAAAAGACTCTAAAGATGACATATTTCGATAAAAAATTTATTAAACAAGGCATTTTTCTATATAATGAGAGAAGAAATTTTTCTATAGAAAATAAATTTATTTTAAAATAATAAATCATGAGAATATGCTTATATAGACAAATCTAAAGATCACAATTTTCTATAGAAAAAACCTTTCCGTTATTCAGAAGATAGTTTTCTTTAGAAGTGAGTCTTAATAAGACACGACTCAGTAGGAAAGAGTCTAAAGAAAATACATTTCAATAGAAATCTTATTAAGCATGAGTCTTTTCTATAGGAAAAGTCTGCTAAGAAAAACTTTTCTATAGAAGAGTATTTCTTAAAGGAAAAGAGTTCTGAGAAGACACTTTTCTATAGAAAAGATTATTAGGAAGATATTTTTCTTTCAAAAGAGTCGAAAGAACACAATTTTTCTATTGGAAAATCTATTTAGAAGACAGTTTTCTATAGAATACCATCTTCAGAAGTCACTTCAGACATGGAGACCTTTCTATAAAAAAAATTCTTAAGAATATATTTCTATTAAAAGAGTCTAAAGAACGCAACAAGTCTTAAGAAGAAACTTTTCCATAGAAAGTAGACTTAAGAATGCTTTATTCTATTGAAAAGACTCATAAAAACATAGTTTCTTATAAAAGAGTCCAAATAACACAATTTTGTATAGAAAACAATCTAACCAATAACATATTCATTATTTAGAAGGCAGTTTTCTATAGAAAATTGTCTATAGAAGATACTTTTCTATAGAAATGAATCTTAAAAAGGACATTTCGTTATAGGAAAGACACATTTATTATAGAAAAAACACAACTTTATATAGAAAAATGATCTAAAGAAGAATCTTCTCTTTTGAAAACTACTTCAAGGAAGACACTTTTTATAGAAAATAAGATAAAGAAAACAATTATCTATAGAAAGGAGTCAAAAAAAGAAGAAAGTCTTTTATAAAAAATAATCTAAAGAAGACAATTTAAAGAAAAGTTTGAAGACAATTTCATATTGAAATAGAGTTCAATGTATAAACTTTTTAATAGAGAAGAATCTAAGAAAAAGGTCTAAAGAAGACATTTTTATTAAAAATATTATAAATAAGACACTTTTCCTATAGAAAGAGGTCTAAATAGAAAACTTATCTCTAGAAGAATCTAAAGCAGCGATAGGCAGATTTGCTCTCTGATTAGTTTTGAATGTTACAAGAAGATTTCAACAGATATTTTGTAGATTCTTCTTAGACTTCTTTAGATTTTAGAAAAGAAACATACATTTCTGAATGTATTGACCTTAAATCAAATCTATGCGATCTTTAGGATCTAATGTGCACAATATATAAGATTTTCATTACTTTACTTTTATTTCGTTTATTAATTTTTCGCTTAAAATACAACTCGAAAACTTTAAGTATATAGGAATACAAAATTTTAATACTCACTTGCGTTTAATACAACTTCTTAATACATGTTTTTAAAACTAAGTCGAATGTTTTTTGTTTCGTTTAAATTACTAGGTAATATGTTTGGTTTGAATGTTATCATAAATATTCTATGAATTTAACGTTGTCGTTTTTGAAAATAGTAGTAAAATGTTTTTTATATTAAATTTTAAACATCCATCATGAAATTTGTTCATAAATAATAGTCACAAGTAAGGGCAACACTTAAATTTCAATAAAATTTAATGGTGAATTGTTTTTGAAATAGATTTTAAATTAGGCAAATTTTTGTTTATTTTATAGTAATATTTATTAATTTAAACGTTATTTACCAAAAAAAGACCTTTGACCCATAGAAAATGAAGTTCAAAATGTATGCTTAAAAGAAGTACAATACAAAACTTTATTGCAGAGCTTTAAGTATATATATTTGTGAAGGCGCCTATAACTAAAACCCAAAACCATAACGAAATATAAATTTAAAGTCTATTTATGTTCGGTTTATATTTAAATTTTAATAACTAAAGAAAAAATAAGTAAATTTGTGTTTATTTAAATATAAATACTATTAGTATACTAAAATAACCATTTATATTTTTGATATCAATGACACTTTCACAGCACTAAAATACATTAAATATTTGGAAAAAGTATTTTATATAAAAAAAATACAATTTGCTAACTACACAAAAAACAAACTTTCACTAAACTTTTGGCAATAACCGGTCGGTTTTCGTTTACAAAAGCAAAAACTTACTACATTTTTCTAAACGAAAAACTTCGTTTAAACAGTTTCAAGAGGGAATCAATTTTTCTTCCTCATATCTACTATATTACAAACTTATTTAATATTAATTTATGCTTGATTTAGGTACGTGCATTTAAGGTACTTTGACTAGTACTTGCCGACAAACCCATTTCTTCATCAGATTCATCTGAATCTAAAGGACTTACACGTATAGCCTGATACCATTTATTAGTCAAATCAGCCATTTGTGATTTACACTCATGCAACTCTTGACTGTTAAAGCGACGCGTAAAAAAGGGTATAAAATATTTACGATCTAAACGACCAAATCCAGCAATACGTGTTTGGGCAAAGGACACATCTTCCTCTTCGGTAAGTTCCGATAAATGTTCGGAATCTATAGCTTGACCCCATTCTCTAGTTTTTGACAAAGAAATCGATTTGGAACGTTTGCGTGAATTACTTCTTTGCCTATTGGCTGTTGCTGAGGCAGAACTGCCATTGCGTGAATTACGTGATCTACGCTTTTTGCCTGGTTTTAAATATTTCAACAAAGGCATAGTAGAACCACCAAAGAAGAGTGTAGTAAATAACACAATAATCAAAGTGGTGGTTATAATAACATGTCTAGTTTCATCACTAGACAAATCTAAATGCAATGACAAGGCATAGGAAATGGCACCCCGTAGACCAGAAAACCACATAATGAATTGCATTTTATTGGTAATTTTATGTTCACGAAATTTATTCACCAAATAAGCCAAAGGAAAGATATTACAAGCTCTGCCAATAAGACACAATACAATGGACCATATCACAAAAGATAATTCTACTTGATGTTTAAAAGAGAATATGGCCAAACCCAAATAGGCAAAGACGCAAGTTTCTGCTATAAAAGCTAAAGTACGCATTGTTTGTTGCATGGTTATTTGTGTAACCGTGGACAGATTGAAATGTGTATAGTGTGACATAACAATGCCACAAAATAATATGGCCATTATACCGCTCAAATGTATGCCCTCAGCTAATACATACGGTGCATAGGTAAACATTAACATTATGGCAAATTCCAATGATGGATGTTTTCTTAAATCTACATGTTTCAATAATAAAGCCGAGATCAAAGCAAATACTACACCTATACCGGCCGAAGCAAAAAACATTTCACAAAATGTTTTCAACGCCGAGAAAATAGCCTCACCTGTAGACATTTTTGCATAGGCCGGACTATTGGCCGATTGGGTGACGGTGGTGGTTAAAACAATAGATATGGCATCGTTTAATATACTCTCACCAAATACCAACATATTAAGTATGGGATCCACATCGAGAGCATGAAAAATCGCTACCGTTGCCACGGGATCGACAGCGGAAATTAGAGAGCCAAAAGCAAAAGATTCCGAAAAGTTGAGGCTGTAAAGAAATAAAAAATATCACATTTTATACAACATTTTCAATAAATTCTCTTTTTATAGAGAATTTTTGAGAAATTCTCTTTTTATGGAGAATTTTTGATAAATTCTCTTTTTACGCAGAATTTTCGATAAATTCTCATTTTACGGATAATTTTTGATAAATTCTCCTTTTATAGAGAATTTTCGATAAATTCTCTTTTTATAGAGAATTTTCGATAAATTCTCTTTTTATAGAGAATTTTCGATAAATTCTCTTTTTATAGAGAATTTTCGATAAATTCTCTTTTTATAGAGAATTTTCGATAAATTCTCTTTTTATAGAGAATTTTCGATAAATTCTCTTTTTATAGAGAATTTTCGATAAATCCTCTTTTTATAGAGAATTTTCGATAAATTCTCTTTTTATAGAGCATTTTCGATAAATTCTCTTTTTATAGAGAATTTTCGATAAATTCTCTTTTTATAGAGCATTTTCGATAAATTCTCTTTTTATAGAGAATTTTCGATAAATTCTCTCTTTTTATAGAGAATTTCGATAAATTCTCTCTTTTTATAGAGAAATAAATTCTCTCTTTTTATAGAGAATTTTCGATAAATTCTCTCTTTTTATAGAGAATTTTCGATAAATTCTCTCTTTTTATAGAGAATTTTCGATAAATTCTCTCTTTTTATAGATAATTTTCGATAAATTCTCTCTTTTTATAAAGAATTTTCGATAAATTCTCTCTTTTTATAGAGAATTTCGATAAATTCTCTCTTTTTATAGAGAATTTTCGATAAATTCTTTCTTTTTATAGAGAATTTTCGATAAATTCTCTCTTTTTATAGAGAATTTTCGATAAATTCTTTTTTTATAGAGAATTTTCGATAAATTCTCTTTATATAGAGAATTTTCGATAAATTCTCTTTATATAGAGGATTTTCTATAAATTCTCTTTATATAGAGGATTTTCTATAAATTCTCTTTTTATAGAGGATTTTCGATAAATTCTCTTTTTATAGAGGATTTTCGATAAATTCTCCTTTTATAGAGAATTTTCGATAAATTCTCTTGTTATAGAGAATTTTCGATTAATTGTCTTTTTATAGAGAATTTTCTATAAATTCTCTTGTTATAGAAAATTTTCGATAAATTCTCTTGTTATAGAAAATTTTCGAAGCTCATTTTTAAAAAAAAAATCTCAAAATTTCCATAAAAAATAATTCAACCACTTCAACTTCAATAATCAAACCGCTTTCAACTTACCGATATGCCACCTCAGCCAAACCCAACAAATATATACCCGCTCCAATGACTAAAGCCGAAATCGTTGTACCCACAATGGCAAATACCAATATGGAGCCAATATTTTGGAAAAAGTTACCCTTGTGTAAATTATAACCAGATTCAAAGATAATGGGCGGAAGTAAAACCAAAAAGAAGCCTGTGGGAGAAAATACTTCCTCTCTCTTCCAGCTGGCATTCTCCCCGGACATAACCTTCAATAATAGACCAATTAAAGCGCCCAAAAACACAACCACAATACTTTCGGGTAAATATTGGAAACCCGTCTGTAACATAGAATGTATCAATAGAATGCCCAGCATTATCACGCAAATAACAAAGAATAATGACAAGGAGGAGTTGTGTTCCTGTTCGACGGCATGATGATCTGGTAAAGGTGGCTCTGTAACGACTTTCGTATCGTTTTCTGCTGGTGACGTTGAGTTAGTGATTGGTGCTGCTTGTGTGGAAGTTGTTGTGGTATTTGTTCCACTTGTTACATTTGCACTCGAGGTCACATTTGAATTTTTTACATTGTTAATACTAGTATTGGTTACATTTATATTGGTAACATTTATTGTTGACGTTACGTCTGGTCCCGTATTAGTAGACTTTCCATTTGATTCTTTGTTTTCTGACACATTCTGTTCGGACTTGATAAATTCCACTGCACCATTAGAGGAATTTTCATTATTTGCTGCTGCAGCAGCAGTTTCCGACTGAGCATCTTCTGCCCTTATGGTAACCGTGAAAATACTTAAGGTGCTTATCAGCAATAGTATAACTAACCAGCATAATGATTGTTTATTTCTCGACATATTTTCTTTAAATTTCATTTTCATACACTTTGAATTTATGGTTAAACTTAAAATTTTGATTTTTTTCACAATTTACTTTTTAATTAAATTAAAAATTGTAAATTTTCACGAACATTCTATTGAATTATTAATCATTTTATTTTTGGCTTAAGTGCGTTATGGAATGTCAATTGTTGGTTGTTTTTCCAATTACAATTTTTTTTAATTTTTCTTTACGTCGTTTTTTACAACAACACGTCAAGAGTAAGATAAATTGTCAAACAGCTGTTTAGATAATGTTCCGTTCGTTTTGTTTTGACATTTTACAGTAAACAAAAATGTAACCCAACGAACATAATTGCAAAAATGCGAAACAAATGTGGTGCCAGATAATTTTGATTTTATTTATAAAATAAAATGAATAATTTAAAATATTTCAATAAAATGTTAATGGGCTGGACTAAAAAAATTAACATAAATTTCAAATCCTCCTTAAATTGCATTATATGTAGAAATAATGTTATGTTTTCTAAACAAATATTTTATTTTGTCATTTTATTTCATAACCTTATAATTATACTTCAAAATTAAATTTGAAATTTCTAAAATATGATTAGAAATTCTTATAATATAATTAGAAAATTCTGATATCAATTGGAAATGTTGTAGAATGTTTTCCATAAAAAGTCAATTTATCAACAAATTAAAGAAAAACTAATTATTAACAAAAATTTTTCGGTAAATTTTTTCGAAAAATTCTCTATTTTTAGAAATATTTCCATACTTTACTATATTTAGAAACTTCTTCAATAAATTTTAAATTTTCTTTAATTCTGTAGTAATAAAACATAAAACAAAATACAAATTATATATATATATATATATATATATATATATATATATATATATATATATATATATATATATATATATATATATATATATATTTATATTTTTTTTATTTATTGATAAAATAAATTTTGTTTTTTTTTTTAGAAAAATTTCCAGAAGCGGTTATAAATTTCTACTTAGTAATAATTTATACATATGTTTGTAAAAACTTGTAGAAAAATACTCTCACTATTTAAAGAAAAATTTCAAATTAAATTTTTCCATTATTTACTTAGTTATAGAAAAATTTCCACAAATTATTTAAAGAAAATGTTGAAATTGTCTTATATAGAATATATCCGATAAATTACATTTTTATAGAACATTTTCAATAACTTACTTATTTATACATTTTTTATAAATTTACTTTTAACAGAAAATTTAAAAAAAATTTAAATTAAATTTTTTTTTCTTAGAAAATGTTTATATATATAGAAAATTTTCGATAAAATATCTTTTTTATAGCAAATTTTATTGAAATGCTTTTTTAAATTTGGATAATATTTTTTTTTAAATTTGGATAATAGAGAAAATTTTTGTTTTTTATAGAAAATTTTCGATATTTTTTTATAGAAATTTTTCATAAAATTTCTCTTATTATAGAAAATTTTCTATGAAGTTTCTTTAATAATAGTGAAATTTAGATAAAAAAGATATTTTATATAAAAAGTAAAATGTTTTTATAAATTTTCTATAAAAAATTTCGAAATTTTCAAAAATTCTAATTTTTAACAATAATTAAAATAGAAGTTTATAGTATTTAAAAAACTCTGAAATTTACAATTGGCTGTTTTTTTGAAATTTTTAAGTTAGTTAAAATTAAAATACTTTTTACAAATCCATTATTTTTTATATTAATAATTTTAACAAATAAAGGTTTTAATTACACCGGACATTATATGATAACTTAAAGCTGCAGCATATTTATTTATATGTGCTTCATTAAACTAAATTAAAAAAAAAATATTATTAACTTTTTATTAGTGTAAATTAATACCTTAATTAAATAGTTAACAGTCCGTTAAACTTTGTGGCAAATATTTTAAAACCTTCAATGCAACATAATGCAATATCAGCAAAAATATTAGTTATTAACAACATGTTAAATTTATAATGGTAGTGTAAAATTTCCGTTATTATAAATAAAGAAAATAGAAGTATAAAATTTGAAATTAAATTTTGTCGAATCATTTTATGACACTTCTATAAACCGTGAATCTTGCAAACAGACATAAATTATGCATGTAATATAAACTAATTGATTATTCATGTTATCAATTTCACAATTGAACATATACGAGTACTTAGATTTCAGTTGAAGACCCCAAGATGACATACTATAAGAAAAATCAGATTATTGTTGTTTGTGAGAATATGCATTAAAGGAAAGTATTGAATTTTTAATCGATACATTCTCGTGTTGATTAATAATAATATTTTTTCTTATCAACAATTTAAACGATTTCATAGGGATTTAGGTACGAAAACAAAAAATATATAATATTAATTTTTTTTCAGTATGAGAGCAAGCATCATGCTCAAAAAGATTGATAGTGTTAGGATTACCAAATATTAAAATAAAATTAAAATTCATAGTGTAGTATTTATGACTTTAAGATTATATTTTTGGAATATATAAGAATATTTTCAATGCCAACATTTATTTAATTTCTTAGATCTTTCGCTTAATCTAAGTTTTGATTTTAAAAAGAATGTACCAGAATAAATTTAATGGAGTCTATGACGAATATTTTGATGAGTCGCATATTTGCGAACGAACAGACATTTTATTTATTTTTGTAACTGTTTGTAAAGAAATATTTTTTAATAAATTTTATGATAATTGTAAGTTTCGTTGTCAAGTCTGCGATTATATTTCCGCAATTTTGGCAGCTCTATATGTTGAAGAAGTCAATGGGTCAAAAACGTGCCTCTTTAAGCGTAAATAATAATGAGATATTTTGCGTTTTAATATTGAGTCAACGAACTAAAAAGACTAATGAATATTTTAAAAAATATATATGAAACTTTAAAGCATTTTAACATTGAATTTTAAAATATAATCTTCTGCTATCGTTTCAAATACGTAGATTTAATTAATATTTTAAGAAAGTCGTTATAATTTTAGAACAAATATCATAATCAAACTATTAAAAAAATTTAAGATGAAATTAAAGGCTTAGAACAAAATTGCAATAACTTCTCTATTTATAAAAAATTCTTGCTGAAGTTATTTGAGAAAAGTAATATAAATATTTTTTATATAAATATAATGTTCAAAAAATATTTAAAACATTAAAGTGAAATAATAACTAAAGTGCAACTAAATAATTTGTATCCAAACTGAAATCACTTTTTTTAATTGTACATTTTTTATTAAAAAAATTTATTTAAATTTCAATTCCTTCAAACGAAGGTCTTTATATTAATAAATAATATTTCATTTTAAGACCCCCCTATGAATAAAATACATATTTATTTTTTATAGAAAATTTTTCTTTTTAAAATCGGAATTTAATGAACTTTCTTATCATTTAAAATGTCAAAAGAATAAAGAAATGTTCAAAATAGTCAAACCTAATAAATGCGAAAATAATAAGTAAACAACCTATTATGTTAAAGTTTGAACAAAAAAAATTAGTATTTATGTATGTTGCAATATTTTTGTACTTAAAAACTGTTTATTTTTTTTGTTCTAAATAAAATGATAAGCTTTTTATTAGAGCATATAATGCAAAATAGTATGATCCTATATACTTAAGTACAAATTTATATACCTTGCTTCCAAAATTTGGACCATTAACTGGTGTATACTAGTTTTTGTACTTGCCCACGTCATAGCATAACTATAACATCTGGTAGTTTATACCAAAATATATTGCAGTGATATTTATTTGGATTCAGAAATTTAAAGTAGTTTATTCATAAATTACTTTTCTTAATTTAAAAGATTAACCCTCAATATTCACAAGAGCTGATTAAAAATTGCATTGCTTAGAATAAAAATTATATTGTACAATTTTTAAAATCGGGAGAGGTTATATAGTAACAAAAATAACGTTAAATATGCATATATATTTTGTGGAAAAAATTAATTGTTTTATTATTATTATTTTGTAGAAATAACAAAAAATAGCTGATACTGTAATTTAAAATTATAAATTCGCAATGACCTAATTTAGAATAACGTTTTATTTTTGATTTGATATTTTAAAATCATAAATAGTATTGACGAAATATTAATACATTCAAGTATACATAACTTTGTTTTCGTAAATTTTTCCAGGGAGGGTCTATTATTTTTAAAGCAGCAGAAGAATAAATAATAATTTGTTTATTTTTTATTAAATTAATAAACAAAAATGCGAATGAATAATCATTAAAATAAAATCTAGCAGTATTAGAATATAACGCAAAATATCTCCTGATTTGAGATGTCATTTTGTATTTATGAAACCAAAGATTGTAAATTATACTTAAATAAGTGTAAGTGGTAGAATTTATAATGATTTTTTTTCGGAAAATTAACTTTAATAAATTTACAATTAAAAAACGTTATTTTTTCAGAGAATAATAAAAAATGTTTTGTTATCTAGAGTATATTTTCATTGTTTACGTGAATTGCTTTACTTAATTTTCTTAAAATTTTGACATAAAAACAATTTTAATAATAACTTTTTACATCGGAAAATTTAAATTAAAAAATATATATTTTTTTCAAAGAATAATAAAAAATGTTTTGATAGCAATAGTTTATTTATTTGCATTATTTCCGTGAATTTCTTTACTTAATTTTCTTAAACATGTTGACATAAATACAATTATAACTTTTCACATTAGAATATGGAAAAATAAAATAAGGCATAATTTAACATAACAAAAGTGTATCCAATTATAATATCGAAACAAAAATCATCTTACTCATGTTGTAAGTTGTAGTTTGCATCAACATTAGACTCAATAGAATAAAAAATATTTTCGGAAAAAAACGTTATATTGTTCCTTGAACTTGAAAGACCTTAATATTATCAGAAATCTTTTGTATATTATTGTTCCTTCTTAAAACCTTTTTTTTAAATTTTAATAAAAAATAATGTACAAATTTTTAAACTGATCAATTGACGACGAAACAAAAAAAAAAAAGAGAGAAAGTGTTGTCAATTCGCAAAAGTTTAAAAATCATTATCAAAAATATTAAAGAGCAGTTAAATTTAAAGAATATATTAATTTAATTACTAATTTATTCATACACATAGACATATATAGAATAGTCTTTTATTTTTTGAAGATTCAATTTAAGAAAAATAACAACAAGTCAAAGAAATAAAAACAATTCTAAAACTAAATCTACATACATACAGTTTAGAAGAAAGCTAATTATTTATTTGCTGATAATAAGTTGTTTTTTTTTAAGTGATTAATATAAAATTGTTGATTGAAAGAAAATGTTATAAATGAAACAGAAATTTGTCAATCGAAAACATTTCATTCTAAACTGTCGTGTTGTGAAGAGTAAGTTGGATGGAAAAAACAATTTTGTGAATATTTTTTTTAATAAAAAATAATTGTTTTAGTTTTCAAAGTTAAGCAAGAAATTGTGGTGTTAAATTTAAAAATATTTCTATGCTAAAGGACTTTAAATTAAATGTGAAAAATGTGTGTGTGTGTGCTTTTTAATAGTGGAATATTTTAAAATGATTTAATATTGTGAAAGTTAAATATCAAAAATTATAAAAATATATAAAAAATTAATTGTAGCACTAAAAGCAAATTAAAAAAAATTATAATGCTTTATGGCAAAAGTTTTAAAGTATTTTAATTTATTAAATGTAAAATATTTCAATATTTATTAACAAAATCTGTTTGTTATCTTTATTAGATTTTAATTTAAATCACAGGTCACTGTAATATAGAGATAGTGAGCCATTAAAAGTGCTAGGAAATGAAATAATATTGTATTACTAAATTTAAAATTGATTTAATTTGACAAACCGTAATTAGATTCTTAGTTTTTTTTAGTCTAGACATATTGTGGCATGTGCGGCTTTGAAGCATTTTATTATTGTTTTTATTACATTAATAATATTTTAAAGTATTTTCCGCTAATTTTTAAAGTATTTAAATTTCCGAATAGTTTTCCCCACTTTATTGAGCTTTGTTTGTCAGTATATCAGTTCATGGAAATCATTTAAACATAACTGATCTGGGCTGTCATTAAAAAACTCCTTAATGCTCATAAATGCTCTCTCTGGCATAGAGTGAAATGTTAATTAAAATTTCTAATTTGTTTCACTTTAGAATCAAACGAAATCAAGCTAAAATGTGTATTTAAATGATAACAAAATATTTATTTCATTACAAATCAAAAATAAATGTTTATCGCGCAATAATTAACCTAATAAATAATTGTTTAACCCACTGTTTGTGTTTATTAAGAAAACGTCGTTAATCTGGCAGCCACTTTTAAATCAGATAAACCCTATATATATGGCAACCTTTGCAACCATAATAAACGAAGATAATACGAAAGAAAAAATGTCAAATAAAAACAAACAGCTGATTTCCACATTGTTTTTGGAGTAACCCTCGTCGTCAGAAAACAAATTACAAAAATTGCAACAGCACATGGAAAGCAGAAGCCAAGTTCTTTGAGGGAAATCTTTTCAAATAAAAATTATAGCCAAAGTTTAGCAAATATTAGAGAAAATAAAAAGTACAAAATTTATTCAACAGGTAAATTTTAAAGTAAAATATTTAAATTTTGAAAAAAAATAAAGGGAAATTAGGAAAAATAAAGAATTGTAGTGTAAGCTTTATAATAGAAGCGGTAACAGCAAATAAGAAAAGAAAATAAAAAATGAGCGGAGACGGCGCGTTGGACCACCACATGAAAGAACCGAGTATAAATTGAAAACAATGTGAATAACTTGCGCTCTTTTACGATTCAAACCTCGAGGTGTGAGGACGTCAACGTCTAGTTAGAGTGTTGTGCCAGCCGATCGACCAACCAACCGTTTTATTAAAGAACAACTAAAAAATTTTTATATACATATAACAAATCATAAACTTAATTTAACATTTTACTTGTGGCTGCAGCGGATAAAACTTAGATTTTTTTAAAAAAAGAATTACAAACCAAGAAATGTTAGTGTTTTCTCTTATATTTTTTAAAAATTTTTGATTTTTTTTCAAAACAATTTTTCCTTAAAGTGTTAGTGCAAACAATTTATTAAAAGAAAAACCAGAAAAATTCTTCATTTAACCAAAAGCGTTACATAAAATGTTCTATTGAAAAAGAAACTAAAAGAAACTTTTAGTGTAAAAAAAAGTTGTGGTCTGAAAAAAAAGTGTGAAAAATACCGAAAAACTAAAATAAAACAACAACAATTTGTGTATTTAACGCATGTTTGAGAAAAATCAATTCTTTTTTTATATTATTCTTTTGTTTTCTTTTTTATTTTTGTTGCTTTTTATTATCATAATGTGTAATATCTAATTGCTTTAATATATTTTGACGAGATATGTTGGGCATTTTTATTTAACAACAATACCTTCCATTTCATTCCTTTAGCCACTCGCTCTACATCAACCAAACACAAATCTTCTGGCAAAACTACTACCACAACAACAGCAACGATTTCAAATTCAACAAGGAATTAGAAGCAACAAAAGAACAAAAAATACTTTTTTTCTTTAGAACCGGAATTTATCAACAAAAAACTTTAACAAAATGCCACAAACAGTTACCAATGGACACTCAAACGGTTGCAACGGCAACGGCACTCAATATGACATGGAAGATGGACAATCATTTCTATTCACTTCCGAATCTGTAGGTGAAGGACATCCCGGTAAGTTGTTTGTTTTAATTTAATGTTTGGATCTATATAAACAAGGAGAAATTGCTAGCTTTTTAAAAATGAAATTTTAGATTTATTAAAATCAAGTTAGATTTTTTGTAAAATTTTATAAAATTGTTAGGAGTTTTTTAAATATTCTTCTTTCTTTAACTTTTTGTAGCTTTTTTATTAAATTTTAAAGCTCCTATTCATAAACATTTTAAGATTAAGGGCCTTATTTATAACAATTTATCAAAGGATTATAAGACAAATTTTCAAAAAATTTTTTTTGTGAAAATCTGTTTTTGAAAGCCTTTGATAAATGTTTAGTTAGTTTGTTTCTAGAAAATTTAAATTTTGCAAGACTAAAAATTTTGTATTCTTTTAATATTTAAGTTTAGGTTTAGATATAAAGGGTAGCCACTCAATATGATGGGCTCACGAACTTTGTGATGCCCTAGTGGTTGTAGCAGTCCTTTATAGTGTTACCAACTACTTGCGGTGTTAAACCAGCCGATTCGATTTACGAAATTCGGGTCGTTCTTAAGATTGATCCTAGATAGCTCTTCCATACATAGGAGAAATAATGTTCTTGATTCTCAGTGAATGTCGGGCATTAGCAGAGGAGTATCATATAGAGGCCAAGTTGACCTTAAAGTAAGGCAAATGGTTTCGCTAAACCATTTGATTTGAGCCATTTCATGTACTTAGTTTATTTCGAACAAGTGTTCTACAATTAGTCTGGCAAATATCGCACCATTACGGGCAAGTTCGTCAGCTATACAGTTTCCCTGACAGTTGTTATTTCCTGGAACCCATATAAGCGTTATCCTGGAATGGCTCGCTATCTCATTCAGAGACATCCAGTACATATATACCTCAGTTATGAAATATATTTCATTTTTATGTTCAGCATTATAACCTTAGACTTCCAAACATAAACCCTGTGTCGTCATTGGTCGCCTCAGCACAAAATGGCGTCAACGTTTGACTCCTCACTTTACTTGTTGTATCTCAAATTATTTATTTAAACATCATATTTCTTACCTCTTATTATGTACTTTTGTATGTAGTTTGTTTGTTATATTACACATGTCTGGCTATTTCAATGTTCGTTTAATACTTTTTTGTTTGGTAGGTTTTCTGTTTATTTTTGTTTGTTCTGTTTTCAAATTCCTGTAGTGCAAAATAATAAAAAAATACATATTGAGGATGATAGGAGTAAAAGACAAAATAAGGAAAACCTGTGCGCGCGCCTCTTTAAACCTCAATGGATGTTATGTTGTGAGGGGTCTCTTGTGTTCCGGAAAAACATATGTTTTTTTCTTTTATTCACTCGTTATTTATTACTCTCAACAACAAATACGTTTGTGTTTTTTTCACACATTAGAATTTTAGTACGTATAGAAATAAATGTACATGTTTTAAATTGGTATTAATTTCTACTAAGGTGACCAGCTGTAGCAACAAAAGGATTATTTTTATTTTAAATTTAATTAAAAAGGATAGTTAATTAACTTTAAATAATGAAATTTTATGTTTTACCTATTATTTAGGCTGATTACTATCCTCTAGCAAGAAAAATAAAAAGCTTAACTAAAAATGTTAAAAATATTAAAATGTTTCATAAAGATTTAATAAATTAAAGTATTAATAAATAGCTTAAATATTTATATATTTTAAACAATTATCCTTAAAATAATTAGTTTATTTAAAAATTTAAATTTCCTTTATTATGTTTTATACTATGGTCACCTTAATGTATCTTATTCATGCGCACACCATGTGCTTTTTAAATTTGTTATATTTTAACTCTCTGTTTTTTTTTTGTTTTCGTATTGAGATACACGTAATAAAAATATTTACTCATTTTATTTAGAAAAAAAAAACTCTCCCGCACAGCATTGGAACTCTGTGGAAGAAATACAAAACCTTTAAAATAGCTTTACTCTAGACATTTTACTAAAATATATGGTACATATTTAGCGGCTGCTAGAAAATGCAATTCGTTTATGTTATTTTCCTTGAATTCGCTGCAATTTGTATATAAATTGTGTTGACTCACAAAACTCTTTTCTAATTAGATTCTATTAGTTACAATAAAATATATAGAAATCCTCTATGATGGCGCTTAATAATAAATAGAGAATTATTTGATCAAAACAAACAATTAGAGAAGAATACCTAATTGTGTTTTTAAATTTTTGTTTAATTTTATCTTATAAATGTTTAAATCTTTAGGTAAATATTTTTCCAACAACTAGTACAAGTAGCAAATGTTTATAGCTGCCATTACTTCGTTATATTTTTCTTCAAAATAATTAATTTAAAAAATTCTTTATTTTTAAACAATATTGTTTTACCCCTTCTCCTCAACCCTTAAAATTTTCGTCATAATTGCGTATTTTTTGTTTGTTTATTGCGCTTAAGTTTATTTTTATTTATTTGCCATTTAATTATTACGTACTTTCGGCATTTTAGTCATTAGGCTTGAATTTTTAAAGACCACGTGTTTTCTTTTTTGTTTGTTTTTTTATTTTCTAGTTACTTTCATTGATTTTGTTTTAAATTTTGGTTCATTAACGTGTGTTTATGTTTTTGTTTTTAGTATTTTTGTGTTTATAGGTTCTTAATCTTTAGTTATAGCTTTAGCTTTGTGTTTTTTTTATTAAAAACTAATCAATTGTCTTTTACCTACATAGAAGGTTTGTTTCTTTTTAAAAGAGAGAACTTTGTATTTGCTAGTTATTATCTGTAAAACAAATCATCATTATTATTATCGCTTTGATTTGTTTTTGTTGTTTTTACTTTCAAATTATTTGTATACTTTACGGTTTTTTTGTAAATGACAGCGGAAATAAAAAAATTTTATTGGTTTTGATAAGAAATTATAATTAAATTGCAAATTTTGTTTTGTTATTATTATGTTACAATTTTATATTAATCTCTAGAAAACTGTCTATTAAAAACAAAATAAGTTTATTTTATTGTAATTTTTGATGGATTGATTTTTCTTAATTTTAATATTACATTGTTATAGAATATTTATTATTTTATTTGTTTAATGTTGAAGAAAATATTGTAGAAAAAACTACACCATTGCCAACTGTAACTGCAAATTCTTCTGTGTTAGACCATTAATAAAATGTATCAAAAATCGATTTGTTTACCTTTTGAAAAGTATATGACTTATCTTTATGAAATTATAAAACTATTACGTTTTTTTTTTTTTTTTTTTTTAATTTGCTTAGGGGGTGTGCTACTTAATTATGATAACAATTTAAACATTTTATATTAAATTTATTACGATTTCGAATAGATTTAAAATGTTCCAATTATTTTTGTGACAAAATTCTTATCATTCCCATTTGCTTGAAATGACAATGTAATACTATCTTTGAAAATTCGAAATTAATCTATAAATCATGAAGATTCTTATACAATTTTCAGAAATTTCAACTTATGTTCAAAAAATTTTAATCATCGAAAATAATCTCTAGAACAAGCGGATAAATTTTGTTTAAAAATTTAAAATTTTAAAGGACTTTCAAAAGATTTCACTTTAAAAGTTTCGAAGTTGCTCATGTATATTCTTAAGGAATGTTCGACAATTCAAACTTGATATATTCAAAATTACATACGATATATCGAAATTCGAATTTTCATCATCGAAAATTAGAAATTAAGTTAGAAGTTGAAACTGTTTAAGTAATCTCTCGAACAATAAGATTCTTAAACAATTTGTGGAAATTTTGAACTTAGGTTCGAAAGTTTTTATGTTTGAAAATTCGAAATTTATTAATTTTTTTAAACAATTAAGGATTTCAAATCTAAAACAAGAGGATTCTTAAACAATTTTCGAAAATTATAAATTGACTTCGAAAATATCTAGAGAATTCTTAACAAATTTTTGAAAATTTGAACTTGAATCTTTTTATCTTCGAAAATTCGAAGCTTTAGATCAAGTAAGTTAGTTAGTTAGTTAGTTAGTTAGTTAGTTAGTTAGTTAGTTAGTTAGTTAGTTAGTTAGTTAGTTAGTTAGTTAGTTAGTTGTGCGTTTCTTAACCGAAGTTGAGTTCGCTAATGGGAGTTGAATTCATGATATAAGGACTGATAGCCTAGAACATTACCTACTAAGCTACTGGAGGTATCCAAATAGAATATTGAACAGTTTCTTATTCGGGTTTTTTAATAAGCAGTCGATAACGAATTATTTGAACTCAGACGTATTGATGACTTTCGGATTCAAAGAGATATGTGTTCAAGATGTTATATACTTTTTTGTCAATTATTTCCTCAACCACAAATTAGACATAAAATTTATTGCATTATGATAATTAAACGAAAAAACAAAATTATATTTTAAAAATTCCATTCAATGTGATTAACTTTTATAATTGAAAGAAAAAGATTTCAATTTAACCTAATTATATTTTAATCCTACAATCATATTGAACTTTATTTAAATGAAAAACATGTCCGTATATATTCCATTTTTATTATGAAATTCACATGTCTGAAAATAATAAATAACACACATGATGTTTTAAATCAGCACAAAAAGACAGTGCAGTAGACAATAACAAAGGGAAAAAAGGAAAGATTAAAAAGGCGAACTAAAACAAAAGATTAGAAAAATTAAAAATACTTATTTTTAAAAATAAAGTTTAAAAACAAACTTGGTAATAGTTATCCCTACAAAGCTTTAGTTAGATTTTGAAAAAGTTGTTAAAGAAAACTTTTTATTATATTCAATTACATATAATTCCAATTTCCTATCCAATCCGCTTTGCAACAGTCATGAGTCTTTGTGAACACATTTCTACATACATACTTATGACCACACGTTGCATTTATGGTTCTTATCAGTATTTATTTTTTACATAATATAATAAAGCCCGATGCAAGAGTAATCCACTAATTGTTTGTTGAACTTTTCATTTCAGTTTTTTTTTTCATTTTTTTTTTGTAAATTGATCAGTACATATACATATTTAAAAGTGATAATTTGTATAACAGCAAAATAGGAATTATTTTTTTTTGTTTGTAATTTTCTTTGTGTAATTTTCTATTTTGCTGACTTTTATAATGTTATTAGATCATATCACTTCGTTGGGACAATTTAATTTTGTCAGTATCATATTGGCGCTTGTGCCAAATATGTCTGGTCATAATCCTCTATTACACCTCATCATCAATTTTCGTGTCAAAAACTGTAAGCATAAACTGCATACACATGTTTACAAGGTTTTTATACATGTAGTTGCAGCAATTGAAGGGTATTCTTTTAGGTATTAAGAGATTTTTAATATTTACTCAAGTTTTATTTAAAATTTTATATTATACTTTTTGTTTGCCTTAAGTTCTGCACTAGACACATTGGCATTGAATTTCGCTGGCTGTGGCAAAAACATATAAAGAAAGAAACTATAGTGTCTTTGAGTTTTTTTTTTTAATTCATAAATAAATGCGCGTGCGATTTCTCCTATTGCATGATACTTATTTTCTCATTTGTTTATTTTTTTTAATTAAAATACTAATTTTATTTTCTCTCTTTTCTTTTTTTTCTAGATAAAATGTGCGATCAAATCAGTGACGCTATTTTGGATGCACACTTAAAACAAGATCCCGATGCTAAAGTTGCATGTGGTAATTATTATTAGTTTCTTTTTTAATTTTATTATAAATGTTTGACAATATTAAGGCAACTGTTTGCCATAATTGTGCTTGAACTCTGAGTCATTAAATTTTCCATTATTTTTATTATAATTTGCTGTTGCTATACAGTTAAAAAACATTTAAAATTCTTTAAATTAATGTTATCGTCGCCATAGATTTATTAAAAAATGTACTTTAAACATTTAAAAAGTCTTTGGTAATATGATCCCTTATGTCTCCTTAATTCTTCGTAAAAAGATTTTGTTTTGATTTCAGAGCTTTAGAAAAATAATAAACAATGTCTTTAAATAAATTTGGATCTTTTTTTTTTGTGTTGTTACGCTTAAAAAAGCGTGCGATACATTTCAAATGTAAACAAAATTTATATGTACGAGGTTTATTAGGAATATATAACAAGTTTTTTAAATAAAACTTTTAATATCGCACAGTTTTTTGGTAAAAATATAGAAAATATCTTTTTATAACTGTTCAATTTCAAAACCTTCTTATCGAAAATGTAGCGATAATTACTCGATTCGAAGAGAAAACTTTCTAAAGGAAATGATTCGAATATTTTTCCCAAAACTTTCTATCGGAAACTATATTTCTAAAATTTTTTGTTATAACTTCTTCGAACAGTATTTCGAATCTTTTCAAACATTTAATTTAACAATCCTCGTATTTTCACATTAATATTTCTATATCAAGTATACATTTTCAAAACTAAATATTTACTCTTAACATTTTTTATGTTTAAACGCATTAATATAAATATTATGTTTTGTAAACAAAAATTTCAGAAACTGTTGCTAAAACTGGTATGATTCTATTATGCGGTGAAATTACATCAAAGGCTGTAGTTGATTATCAAAAAGTTGTACGTGAAACTGTTAAACACATCGGTTATGACGATTCTTCAAAGGGTAAGTTTTAAAAACACAATAAATATACAATAACACAATTTTCTTCTGAAACGCAAAATACTTCAAAATAAAAGAAAATGTTAAACAATTTTCTTTAAATTGGGGGGTTTTCAACATAAATTTCTTCTCAATATTATTATCAAATTATTAAATTTTCAAAAACCCTTAATAAATCCACAAAAATAAAAAGGTTTCGATTGGAAAACATGTAATTTACTTGTTGCCCTTGAACAACAGTCTCCCGATATTGCCAATGGTGTACATGTCGATCGTAAAGAAGAAGATGTCGGCGCTGGTGATCAGGTATTGTTCGCTCTTTCAAACTCCTACTCAATATCTTTTACTATCTCTACTTTGTTTGAGATGTATTAGTATATATTTGTTAACGTGTTCGTTTTTTTGCTCTATATTTTTTTTTTGTTTATATTTCTACCATTTGGTTGGCCTTTCATTGTTTTCATTAAAAAAAATTATTAAACTCAAAACTAATTCATTTAAAAAACCCATAAAAGACAAAATTGTGAAAAAAGAAATCGTGTTGAAATTGTTTAAAAATATGGAATTACTTAAAGAAGTTTAAAGTTTTTGTCATAAGCTAAGTGGGAGAAACAAAAAAAGCATGTAATGAATGAATAGTAAAACGTTAAAAGTCTGTGTGTCAAATACATATTTCGATCAGGATGGATAATTTTAAATTTCGAAATAAAAATACAATATAAAGAATATAGACTAGACTATAGACTAGACTATATACTAGACTATAGACTAGACTATAGACTAGACTATAGACTAGACTATAGAGTAGACTATAGACTAGACTATAGACTAGACTATAGACTAGACTATAGACTAGACTATAGACTATACTATAGACTAGACTATAGACTAGACTATAGAGTAGACTATAGACTAGACTATAGACTAGACTATAGACTAGACTATAGACCAGACTATAGACTAGACTATAGACTAGACTATAGACTAGACTATAGACTAGACTATAGACTAGACTATAGACTAGCTATAGACTAGGACTATAGACTAGACTATAGACTAGACTATAGACTAGACTATAGACTAGACTATAGACTAGACTATAGACTAGACTATAGACTAGACTATAGACTAGACTATAGACTAGACTATAGACTAGACTATAGACTAGACTATAGACTAGACTATAAACTAGACTATAGACTAGACTATAGACTAGACTATAGACTAGACTATAGACTAGACTATAACTAGACTATAGACTAGACTATAGACTAGACTATAGACTAGACTATAGACTAGACTATAGACTAGACTATAGACTAGACTATAGACTAGACTATAGACTAGACTATAGACTAGACTATAGACTAGACTATAGACTAGACTATAGACTAGACTATAGACTAGACTATAGACTAGACTATAGACTAGACTATAGACTAGACTATAGACTAGACTATAGACTAGACTATAGACTAGACTATAGACTAGACTATAGACTAGACTATAGACTAGACTATAGACTAGACTATAGACTAGACTATAGACTAGACTATAGACTAGACTATAGACTAGACTATAGACTAGACTATAGACTAGACTATAGACTAGACTATAGACTAGACTATAGACTAGACTATAGACTAGACTATAGACTAGACTAACTAGACTATAGACTAGACTATAGACTAGACTATAGACTAGACTATAGACTAGACTATAGACTAGACTATAGACTAGACTATAGACTAGACTATAGACTAGACTATAGACTAGACTATAGACTAGACTATAGACTAGACTATAGACTAGACTGTAGACTAGACTATAGACTAGACTATAGACTAGACTGTAGACTAGACTATAGACTAGACTATAGACTAGACTATAGACTAGACTATAGACTAGACTGTAGACTAGACTATAGACTAGACTATAGACTAGACTATAGACTAGACTATAGACTAGACTATAGACTAGACTATAGACTAGACTATAGACTAGACTATAGACTAGACTATAGACTAGACTATAGACTAGACTATAGACTAGACTATAGACTAGACTATAGACTAGACTATAGACTAGACTATAGACTAGACTATAGACTAGACTATAGACTAGACTATAGACTAGACTATAGACTAGACTATAGACTATAGGCTAGGCTATAGACTAGACTATAGACTAGACTATAGACTAGACTATAGACTAGACTATAGACTAGACTATAGACTAGACTATAGACTAGACTATAGACTAGACTATAGACTAGACTATAGACTAGACTATAGACTAGACTATAGACTAGACTATAGACTAGACTATAGACTAGACTATAGACTAGACTATAGACTAGACTATAGACTAGACTATAGACTAGACTATAGACTAGACTATAGACTAGACTATAGACTAGACTATAGACTAGACTATAGACTAGACTATAGACTAGACTATAGACTAGACTATAGACTAGACTATAGACTAGACTATAGACTAGACTATAGACTAGACTATAGACTAGACTATAGACTAGACTATAGACTAGACTATAGACTAGACTATAGACTAGACTATAGACTAGACTATAGACTAGACTATAGACTAGACTATAGACTAGACTATAGACTAGACTATAGACTAGACTATAGACTAGACTATAGACTAGACTATAGACTAGACTATAGACTAGACTATAGACTAGACTATAGACTAGACTATAGACTAGACTATAGACTAGACTATAGACTAGACTATAGACTAGACTATAGACTAGACTATAGACTAGACTATAGACTAGACTATAGACTAGACTATAGACTAGACTATAGACTAGACTATAGACTAGACTATAGACTAGACTATAGACTAGACTATAGACTAGACTATAGACTAGACTATAGACTAGACTATAGACTAGACTATAGACTAGACTATAGACTAGACTATAGACTAGACTATAGACTAGACTATAGACTAGACTATAGACTAGACTATAGACTAGACTATAGACTAGACTATAGACTAGACTATAGACTAGACTATAGACTAGACTATAGACTAGACTATAGACTAGACTATAGACTAGACTATAGACTAGACTATAGACTAGACTATAGACTAGACTATAGACTAGACTATAGACTAGACTATAGACTAGACTATAGACTAGACTATAGACTAACTATAGACTAGACTATAGACTAGACTATAGACTAGACTATAGACTAGACTATAGACTAGACTATAGACTAGACTATAGACTAGACTATAGACTAGACTATAGACTAGACTATAGACAGACTATAGACTAGACTATAGACTAGACTATAGACTAGACTATAGACTAGACTATAGACTAGCTAGACTAGACTATAACTAGACTATAGACTAGACTATAGACTAGACTATAGACTAGACTATAACTAGACTATAGACTAGACTATAGACTAGACTATAGACTAGACTAATAGACTATAGACTAGACTATAGACTAGACTATAGACTGACTATAGACTAGACTATAGACTAGACTATAGACTAGACTATACTAGACTATAGACTAGACTATAGACTAGACTATAGACTAAGACTATAGACTAGACTATAGACTAGACTATAGACTAGACTATAGACTAGACTATAGACTAGACTATAGACTAGACTATAGACTAGACTATCGACTAGACTATAGACTAGACTATAGACTAGACTATAGACTAGACTATAGACTAGACTATAGACTAGACTATAGACTAGACTATAGACTAGACTATAGACTAGACTATAGACTAGACTATAGACTAGACTATAGACTAGATTATAGACTAGACTATAGACTAGACTATAGACTAGACTATAGACTAGACTATAGACTAGACTATAGACAAGACTATAGACTAGACTATAGACTAGACTATAGACTAGACTATAGACAAGACTATAGACTAGACTATAGACTAGACTATAGACTAGACTATAGACAAGACTATAGACTAGACTATAGACTAGACTATAGACTAGACTATAGACTAGACTATAGACTAGACTATAGACTAGACTACAGACTACACTATAAACTTAGTATAGACTATACTACACTTAGACTTATAGACTTGGCTATAGACTAGACTATAGACTTGACTATAGACTATACTATATTATTAAATTATCATTAAATTGTATTACCATTAAATCACCTGCATGACATACAATGGGATTTTAAATATATAAGTTCTTAAAAATAAACATTTTACAGGTTATTTACAACAAACAACGTTGGCAATAGTGTTTCTTGCTCCACTTTAACAATAATGTTTGTGATGGTCGCAAAATAGAAAAAAAACATAAAAACAAAATCATTTCATGGGATTATTATAAAACAATGATAAACATATTTACTATTTCAATACAAAAACTAGTAAATTTTGTTTCTCATCTAAATATTTAACACAAAAAATATTCTTTCGTTTAAACTTTAACAAATGGTTCATTAATTTATTTTTATGTGTGCAATTTTTCTCTCTTTTTCATTAAAACAAAACAAACAAAAAAAATCATTGAAACAAATTTTGAAACGAACAAACAAACTAGGTTTTGATTATAAAACATGCAATGTATTGTTAGCCTTGGACCAGCAATCGCCAGAAATTGCCGCTGGAGTACATATTAACCGTTGCGAAGAAGAAATCGGTGCCGGAGATCAGGTGTGCAAATAAAATTAAATAAATAATTGTTATTTACAAAGAATTTATTACTTTCCTTTTTTATTTTGTACATATAGGCTAGACTGCCTTAATGCCTTTTTTAACTAATTATTTGTGTTTCAAATAATTGTTTTGTAGTTTATTCTTAATAATTTTATTTAATTTTTCTATTTTTTTTGCTAAAGCACACACACATTGTTCTTAATTAAACTACTTCATTAAATTAAACGCCAAGCTCAACAACAAAAAAACTTGTTATTTCAAAATTTCAATATTTTCTTTTTAAAATTTCTTTAAATCAATACAAAAAAATTCTGTTAGTTTTTCTTAAAAAATAACAAGTTTTTTTCACAAATAATTTTTTTTCTGTCTTCCCACTTACTTTTTAATTGGTGTTAGTCTTTGATTTAGTTTTTCACCACAACTTTTTTTATTACAAAATTTTGTAATTCCACGATTATTGGTTGAATTTTGTAGCGATTTGGTCCTTTATTTAAAATTATTCTTGTTTTTTTATCTGTAGTTATCATCATCATCATGAATATTCTTCACACACACAAAAATATTTGTTTTAAAATAATTTTCTTTTCTCTTTAAACATTAACATTTGTTTCTTTCTAACACTTTATTATAATTTTATAATCATTGCTTGTTTGCTCGCTTATTGCTTGATTAATAAATTCTAACTTACTTGTTGTACTAATATTTGTTTTTTGTTGTATATTTAAATAAAATTTCTTTATAAATAATGTATTGTCTTAATTTCATTTCACCAAAAAAATAGGGTATTATGTTTGGTTATGCCACCGATGAAACTGAAGAATGCATGCCCTTGACTGTCGTTTTGGCGCACAAATTGAATGAAAAAATTGCTGAATTACGTCGTTCCGGTGACTTCTGGTGGGCTCGTCCCGATTCAAAGACACAGGTAAGAATATTTATAACTTTCTTGTTAAATTTTCGTGATTTTTTTTAAAAAAGGGTAATTTTGATGAACAAAACTCTTTTTGAAAATAAAAGCTTTTTCTGGTTTTGAGAATAAAAGCTTTTTTGAAAAAGATCTTTTTGAAAAAGTAAAGCTTTTAAAGTTTGTTTTTAAACGCCTTTTTCTAAAAAGAAATATTTTATAAAATATTTTTTTTATAAAAATCGTTTTTAAAAGCTTTTTTATATAAAAAATATAATTTTTTTTAAAGCTTTTAAAAAGCTCTTTATAATAAAGTTCTTCAATAAGCTTGCTTAAATATTTTTCATTTTGTAAAAATAACTTTTTTCAAAAGCTTTAAACAAAAGTAATTTTTATTTTAGAAACAAGTCTTTTATTAAGTTTTTCATGTAAGCTTTTTTATATAATTTTTTTCTAAAAAATATTTTTCAAAATCTTTCAGTGTAAGACCCAGCACGATTTTAACAAAACACTTTTAGATAAAAAATATTTTTTCAAAATACTTTTTAAAAACAACTTTGTTCTAAAAAAAAATTAAATTTTTTTATACATTTTTCCTAAAGTTCTTTGTAATAAAGTTTTTCAAAAGCTTTTTAAAAAAATATTTTATAATTTTTTAAAAATAACTTTTTTTCAAAAGCTTTTAATAAACAAATTTTTTTCCAAAAGTAGATTTTTTAGAATTTTTTTCTAAAGCTTTGAAAAAGTTTTTTTTCAAAGGCTTTTTTCTAAAAGAAATATTTTATAAAATATTTTTTTTTTATAAAAATCGTTTTCAAACGCTTTTTTATATAAAAAATATATTTTTTCTAAACCTTTAAAAAACTTCTTTATAATAAAGTTCTTCAAAAAGCCTGCTTATTTTTTAATTTTGTATAAATAACTTTTTCAAAAGCTTTTTCCAAAATTAATTTTTATTTTAGAAAAAAGTTTTTTATTAAGTTTTTCTTGAAAGCTTTTTTATAAAGTTTTTTTTTTATAAAAAATATTTTTCAAAATCTTTCAATGTGAGACCCGGCACGATTTTCCCAAAATACTTTTAGATAAAAAATATTTTTCAAAAGCTTTCCTTAGAAAAGATTTTGAAATATTTTTTTTTTAAAACAAGTTTTTTCGAAAAAAAATATAATTTTTTATATTTTTTTCCTAAAGTTCTTTATAATAAAGTTTTTCAAAAGCTTCTTTAAAAAAATATTTCCTAATGCTATTTTTTTAAAATAACTTTTTTTCAAAAGCTTTTTATAAAGAAAACTTTCCAAAAGTAGATTTTTTAGAATATTTTTTTTTTTAATTTTTCTTCAAAAATATTTTCAAATTTATTTTTAAATAACTTTTTTTCAAAAGCTTTTTATAAACAAGGTTTTATTCAAAAGTAGATTTTTTAGAATTTTTTAAATTTTTTTTCTAAAGCTTTAAAAGGTTCTTAAAAGCTTTTTCTGAAATTTTTTTAAACACATATTTTTTAGTTTTCAAAATTAAAGTTTTTTTAAAAAACTTTATAATAAAGATTTTTCAAAAGCTTAAAAGAAAATTTCTAATGCTTTTTCCAAAAGCTTTTATTTATTATTTTTTTTATATTTTTTATAATAACGTTTTTTCAAAAGTTTTTTTTTTTTTTTAACAAAGTGTTTTTAAAAGCTTTTTTATACAAAATATATTTTTAAGCTTTTCTTATAAAAACAAGTTTTAGAGAAAAAATTTTCAAAAGTTTTGTTGAAAGCTTTTTCAAAAGCTTTCCTTACAAAATATATTTTTTAAGCTTTTCTTATAAAAACAAGTTTTAGAGAAAATTTTTTCAAAAGTTTTGTTGAAAGCTTTTATTAAAACGTTTTTTATAATTAAAAAAATATTTAATAAAAAGCTTTTACAAAATTTGCCTAGAAAAACCTTTTTAATTGTTTCATTTCCGTTTCAAATTCCAAATAATTCTATTTGTTTATTTTTTTATCAGATCACTTGCGAATATTTGTTCGATCAAGGTGCAGCTGTTCCCAAACGTGTCCATACCATTGTCGTCTCGTTGCAACACTCTGAAAAGATCGCCCTCGAAGATTTACGCTCTGAAGTTATGAATAAGGTTATTAAAGTAGTCATTCCCGCCAAATATTTAGATGCCAATACCGTTGTACACATAAATCCCTGTGGTTTATTCGTCATTGGTGGTCCAATGGGTGATGCCGGTTTGACTGGTCGCAAAATCATAGTCGATACCTATGGCGGTTGGGGTGCTCATGGTGGTGGTGCCTTTTCGGGTAAAGATTATACTAAGGTCGATAGATCGGCGGCTTATGCTGCACGTTGGGTGGCAAAATCATTAGTTAAGGCTGGTTTATGCAAACGTTGTTTGGTTCAAGTATCATATGCTATTGGCTTGGCTGAACCTCTATCCATAACAGTTTTCGATTATGGCACCTCACACAAGTCCCAAAAGGAATTGTTGCAAATCGTTAAGAACAACTTCGATTTGAGACCCGGCATGATTGTTAAGTAAGTTTGAATATGATAGATATACTTTTAAACATACTAGAATATTAATTGTTTTGTTTGTGTTTTTTTTTTTTAATTAAAGGGACCTCAACTTGAAACATCCCATCTACCAGCGCACAAGTACTTATGGCCATTTCGGTCGTGACGGTTTTGCTTGGGAGCAAGCTAAATCTTTGCAAATCAATTGACTAGAAGCTGATACACAGCTGCTGCCTCAGCCACCGTGTGCTAAAAAATGTAAAACCGCGTAATTTTTAGTTATTAATTTTAATCATATTTCTTTTTCTTATTTTTTATTTTATATATATTATTATTATAATTTTTATTTTGTGCGGAAAGGAAAAAGCTGAAAATTCTTAGCTACAAACAAAAGTAATTAATAATTTACAAGCAAACAACAACAAAAAAAAGATGATTGATTTTAACATCAACAACATGGAAAGAGCCCTTAATTTTTTCATATAAAGTGAAAAAAAGGCATTTCAATTTCTCTACTCTTTTTTTTTTAATATATTTCGCTTTTACCATTTTTAAACATTAACTTAAATTTAGTTTTAGTTGCCAAAACATTAAAAAAAAGTTACAAAAAATATCAAGAATATAATAAAAAACTGCAAAAAAACAAAACATTAAGTAAAACATTACAAACTGTATAACAAAATAGACAAAGAAACAAAAACAAAAAACAAGAATAAACAAAACAACACTGCTATTTACAACAATAGTCAAGAATTCTTCCTTAATTTATCATAATCATTAAACAAACACTATTTTCATTCATTCGATCATTCACTAACTTAACATAAACAAAATACAACGAAGCAGCATATTTTGTTTTAAAAATTAACTAAAAACAATTTTATTTGTTTTAATTTTTTTGTTTAATTATTTAGAAATTTTCAAAATCAACTACTATTTTAATTTTTAAAAAATACATTTGCAAATTCTATTGTAAATGTCCTTTTTCTGTTCTACTCTCATGCTGTTTGTGTCTGTATTATAACATCTCGTATTTATGTCCTTTTTTACTCTCTACTACTACTTACTATACTCTCTATTCTCAATACAGAATATTGAAATTAATGATAAAAAAAAAAACATCTTAAAAATTAAATACAAAACAAAGAATTAAGAAAACGTATAAAATATATTGAAAAACCATGTATTTTGTATTTAACTCTTTCTTCTTTTTAAGTAAAATTCAATATTAAGCAAAGAAAAACATCAAATTTTATTAAGTAAAAAACTATTTAAAAAAAAGCAAAAAAACAAAGTAAAACAACTACTTTATTTGCGTCTGACAAGATAAAGTGTATATTTTAACAAAAAAACAAACGCAATTAAATAATATTATTAAATTAAATAACAAATAAATACATGTATGTAAACAATATTGAAACAGTTTAAAAACATCAAAATTATATTCAAAGAAATGATAAATAAAACAAAAAATAATACAAAACTTAAGTGGAGAATTTTTATTTTTAACAAGTAATATTCAGATGTACCGAATCTTATAAAACCTATGCGCTAGCTCGTCCATTAGCTAACCTTTTCAGCATCATAGCAGATCGCTAAAGTAACGTTAATTCCTAAAAAGAGAGAGGCTAATAACCCCGAAAATTATATCCCAATTTTCTTACGGAATCATAAGAAAAAGAAGAAGCAATTCCATTTTAATTCAATGCTTTACTAAGACTAGACTATAGACTAGACTATAGACTAGACTATAGACTAGACTATAGACTAGACTATAGACTAGACTATAGACTAGACTATAGACTAGACTCTAGACTCGACTATAGACTAGACTATAGACTAGACTATAGACTAGACTATAGACTAGACTATAGACTATACTATAGGACTAGACTATAGACTAGGACTATAGACTAGACTAATAGACTAGACTATAGGACAAGAACCTATAGACTAAGACTATAGACTAGACTATAGACTAGGACTATAGACTAGACTATCGACTAGACTATAGACTAGACTATAGACTAGACTATAGACTGACTTATAACTAGATATAGACTAGACTATAGACTAGACTATAGACTAGACTATAGACTAGACTAGACTAGATATAGACTAGACTATAGAATAGACTATAGACTAGACTATAGACTAGACTATAGACTAGACTATAGACTAGACTATAGACTAGACTATAGACTAGACAATAGACTAGACTATAGACTAGACAATAGACTAGACTATAGACTAGACTATAGACTAGACTATAGACTAGACTATAGACTAGACTATAGACTAGACTATAGACTAGACTATAGACTAGACTATAGACTAGACTATAGACTAGACTATAGACTAGACTATAGACTAGACTATAGACTAGACTATAGACTAGACTATAGACTAGACTATAGACTAGACTATAGACTAGACTATAGACTAGACTATAGACTAGACTATAGACTAGACTATAGACTAGACTATAGACTAGACTATAGACTAGACTATAGACTAGACTATAGACTAGACTATAGACTAGACTATAGACTAGACTATAGACTAGACTATAGACTAGACTATAGACTAGACTATAGACTAGACTAGATTATAGACTAGACTATAGACTAGACTATAGACTAGACTATAGACTAGACTATAGACTAGACTAGATTATAGACTAGACTAGACTAGACTAGACTATAGACTAGACTAGATTATAGACTAGACTAGACTAGACTATAGACTAGACTAGACTATAGACTAGACTATAGACTAGACTATAGACTAGACTATAGACTAGACTATAGACTAGACTATAGACTAGACTATAGACTAGACTATAGACTAGACTATAGACTAGACTATAGACTAGACTATAGACTAGACTATAGACTAGACTATAGACTAGACTATAGACTAGACTAGACTATAGACTAGACTAGACTATAGACTAGACTATAGACTAGACTAGACTATAGACTAGACTATAGACTAGACTATAGACTAGACTATAGACTAGACTAGACTATAGACTAGACTATAGACTAGACTATAGACTAGACTATAGACTAGACTATAGACTAGACTATAGACTAGACTATAGACTAGACTATAGACTAGACTATAGACTAGACTATAGACTAGACT